CTTCCAACAGAATAGTTTGAAAGCACGGAGATAAGATAGTTGACTACTCGGTCACATGCTTCTATACTCTGTTTACTCGGTCACATGCACCTGTAATGGTCTAAAGTACTGACCATTTAGGTTTAAAATCAAACTTTCGAAACTTACCTCACCACACTTTATTGGGTTTTATCGCTTGAGACTGAAAATGCAGAAACTCAGTTTTGTCTTAGGTCCCCAGGACTGGCAATAATGGGGAAAAGCACTAAACTCACCTCAGGCGCCAGTGCTACGCAAGACCCGGACAGAAGTTGATATTTTGTTAATTGGACAAAAAGAAGCATTAATGACAATGGAATTTTTTTCCTAGACACACCAGTGGAAGTAACACTGTGCCTTGGCACTTTCATATGTCTACTTTTTGAAATGTCAGTTTCGGGTTGTTTAATGGAAACTAACTAAACGTGCTAGATGTGTATGTACTCATATTGAGTGCACAAGTACAGCTAAGCTTGTGCGTGCTAAGATGCGTGTGATCCAAAAATAGCGGCACATCGGTGTAAGTCGCAAGCAATTGTGTGTTGCTGACCGTCTTGACCGATTGGCCAAGAGTACATGCCTAGCATGACCTATTCTGCTCTCTTCTTCTTCTTCAATATGTGTTAAAAATAATAAATGGAGACGTTAGTCATTCTAAAGGGTGACCGGCTACTCCATTACCATTGAAGAGAATATTTCCGACATAGAAATTAAACACTTCAAACATATAGATGCAGCTATACACCTCAATGTCTCTCCCCCCCCCCCCCACACACACACACACACACCTTTCCCCTACCTATAACGGAACATAATAAAAAACCGTCTAAAGCTGAAGCCACACCGCCCACAGACCCCACAGCAATCAGCCCGCAGACACCGCCCAAGCATCGCCCGCCCCGCACACGACGGCCCGCCAGTCTACCCATACAAGATATAAGTCACATAACCTCCGGAAGCATACTCCGCTTGAGCGACGCGACTGGACCGTCGTGCAGAGAGTCAGAGCGTCCCAAGCGTCACCCGGGGGCCGCGCCCCGCAAGGCCCGCGGGTGCGACTCCACCTTCACACTGACAATGATCCTTAAATAATAACACGCACTAGTTCTACACACCAACACGTACACGCATACATAGACACATACGATGAGAACAGTTAATGAACCGCACTTATGTTCTTGGTATGAAGTGTCACCTCGAGTCTTACCAATTGTCACCAGATTGTTCACACATACACACACATTGCTATATTCATGCATTTTACAACAAGGTTCAATATTATCAACTCAAAAGCTAGTATTTGTCGATGATATCACTGTCTTCCAGAAACATTTTTATTGCCTGGAGAGCCTGTTTCTGCATGATTTGATTGGGCCATGGCCCCAGTAATTTATTTATGGTGAAAGGCCTTTTATCCAGGATATCAAACCGTACTTTTAGTTGTGACCGACTGCGATCGAAGCGAGGGCAGTTAAAAAATAGGTGTTCAATAGTTTCCACATCCTGACCGCAAGAACATTTCGGGTCCTCAATTTCATTAATTTTGTAGCGAAATTCTCTCGTGAAAGCCACGTTCAGTCGCAGGCGGTGAAGCATGGTTTCAAATTTTCTCGGTATATCGCTTGGGATATAAAACCGTAATTCTGGATCCACCACGAAGAGAGTAGACTGCCGTCCTGCCTCATTAAACCATATGTCGACTGCCATTTCTTTGGAGTGGTGTGCAATTAAATACTTTATGTCTGTTTTCGAAAAAGGAATTCCTCGAATTCTCTCTAAAGCGTGTGCACTTGTTGCTAGTTTGTCTGCCTCCATGTTTCCTGAGATTCCGCTATGGCCTGGAATCCACTGCAGCTTTAATGAATGACCATTACTTATGGCCCGATCGATCATATCAGCTACCTGGTAGACCAATGCATATGCCGGACTTCTAGACTTTATTGACGAAAGAGCACCGAGGGCTGCCTTGGAGTCCGTGCAGATAACCCACTGGTTTTTCGGCTCTACGTCCTTTATATACTGCACTGACGCAAAAATTGCATAAAGCTCTGCAGCAGTAGAGGACGTTCTGTGGGACAAACGAATACGTTTCTTCACTTGCATTGATGGAATTACGAAAGCTGAGGTTGAGCCATCATTTGTCGTAGAGCCATCTGTGTATACATGAATGTGGTCTCTGTAGTGATCATGCAAGTATGCCAACGCCGACTGAGCAATCACAAAATGAGATGTGCTCAGGCTTTTCTTAAGGTTGGGTAATTCCGTGTTAATATCTGCGATGCGAAACATCCAGGGTGGTCGATCTATAGTCGGAACCCACGGTGTGTAATCCGGCACGATTACGCTCGACGATATAAGTGTCGAGGAAATATGTGAGCCCGTCCTAGTTATCAAATTCTCCGCAAGTGGGTGACAGTTCTGAATGGACAAGCGTAGGAAATGACGTAAGGTCTCATGTTCGCGTAAAGTTTGAAGAGGTAGCTGTTTTGTTTCTGCTAAAACCAGTGTTCCGCGAGTTGGACGCGGGACGCCCAAGCAGATCCGAAGACTACGGGCGATCATGTAATGCAGTCTGTTTTCTTGTGTTGCAGATAATCCATGGAGTGCTGGGAGTGAATATGTAATAAGTTGCCGAACAATCGCAGAATGCAGCATTATCATGGATTTCGTTGAGGCTCCCCAACGAACTCCAGTAAAATAACGTAGAATGTTGATTGTTTTGTTGACTTTTGCCTCCAGCATATCGATGTGTTTTACCCAAGTGAGGCTTTGATCTAGAATCACTCCAAGAAAGCGATGATGCGAGACGCGTTCTAAAGTTTGACCCTGTATTTTTAGCTCGAATCCACGAAGGTGCTTCCTCGTGAACGGAAGCATTACTGATTTTGAAGGCGCAATATCCATACCCCGTTCACTTAAGAACTCGTTTAAGAGCTTCAGTCCCGCTTGAAGCTGATCCTGTAAAGTCTTTAGACAAGTGCCTGAGGCCCAGATGCAAATGTCATCTGCATATATCGTCACATGGAGTGGTGAAGGGAGGCGACCTGGAAGCAAAGCCATGACCGTATTAAATAGAGTAGGGCTTAGTACGCTCCCTTGAGGTACGCCGTGTCGGAGAATTTGACTCGTGCTATCTCCATCTGCGGTCTTTACAAACATTGTCCGTTTTGAAAGGAAGTTTTTTATCCACCGTACGACTCGTCCTCGAATTCCAAGATGTATAAGACTATATAGAATGTGGATTTGACTTACTGTATCGTATGCGCGCTTGATATCTAAAAATACAGCTATTGTGATTTTTCCGAGCGTACGTTCATGTTCTATGTACGTTACCAAATCTAAAACGCAATCCATCGTGCAGCGTTTGGGACGGAACCCTGCTAGTTCTTCCGGTGACACTTCACTCGTTTCTAGCCACCATTGTAGTCGTTGATTAATTAGCTTTTCGAAAAGCTTACCTAAGCAGCTTGTAAGGCTGATTGGTCGAAAGGAGGCTAGGTCCATGGGTGTTTTTCCCGCTTTCAAAAGCGGTATGACCTTAGCGACTTTCCATTGGGCTGGTATTTCTTCCTTGACCCAGAGAGAGTTGAACGTGCTCAAAATGAAGTTCAGCGCACGTGGACCGATGTTGGTCAATTCATCCCATGTGATCAGGTCTGGGCCAGGCGACCTGCCCCGACGTATCACTCTCAGTGCGTTTTGAAGTTCCCTCATTGTGAAAACACAATCTAGCTCCAAATGACAGGACGTAATCTCGTTATCAATTGTTTGTTTGGCATTGACACACGAGGCAAAGTATTTAAGTGTCAGAGATGCCGCGCTTGGTTGAACCAATAATTTGCAAAACTCGTCTGCTATTGTCAGTTCTGATACGCCTCTGGATAGGGCCATTGCTCGCAACGGGAACCTTTGAATAGTCGGCGCTTGGAGAGCTCTAATAATAATCCACATCCTCGTGAGGTCACTTACAGACGATAGCTTAGCACAAAGCTGTCGCCATCGATGTTTGGCAAGTTGTCTAAGTTTACGCTGTATAAGGCCGTGAACACGCTGAGCCTCCTTATAGTCCTCTATCCATCCTGAGCGGCGGTATCTTCGTTCGGCTCTGCGTCGTATTGCTCTAAGTTTTTCATACGAAGCATCAACACCTCTATAATCGGATGGAATGGATACCCATCTTGTTGCGTGGTCAAAATTTTCTTTCACAATCGAAATAAAATCGTCCAACGTATCAACGTTTTTACAGCTTAGCGTATTCAAAGATCGAAATATACGCCAATTTGTAATTTTAACTTTCCGTTGTCCATTGCGCGGTCTCGCTACCTTTCTGTGCTGGACGAGTATGGGCAAGTGGTCGCTTCCATGGGTTTCTGTATCAACATGCCATGATAAATCCGGGAAAATGTCTTGAGAACATATTGTCAAATCCAGAACACTTGAATAAGTACATCCACGAAGAAATGTCTGAGAGCCATCATTTAGCACGCATAGATTATATTTCTCTATTACATTGGCAATCAGCTTCCCTCTCCTATCATTTTGTGTGCTTCCCCACAATGTATGGTGCGAGTTAAAATCCCCACATAAAATGTATGGATCACTAAATTTTGAGAATATTGATGTTAGAGCTTCCTCCGTCACTGATGTTACTGGCTCTATATATACGCAGGCTATAATCATTGCGGTCGTGCCAAACGTGATCTTGCACGCGACGTATTCTGGCGCTTCAGACGATGATGTGCACATAATAACTGATGGTATGTCTTTCCTCACACAGAGCATTGCTCGACTGGGACCATCCCGACGGGACGAGCAATACGTGAGGTAGCCAGCTATCTTAGTTTTTGCATCTGTATGAGCTTCAGATATTGCCAGAACAGGGAACTGGTATTGCGTAACGAGCTTCCTGAAGTCTCCTATTTTAGTTCGGAGGGAATTCGCATTCCATTGGAATACAGTGGTTTCACTGTACACACTATTCATTACATCTCAGGGACCCTTGTCCCCAGAATAAGGGGTTCCATATTAAGGATCGCCTTTACCTCTGGGATGTTGACGGCGTCTGGTAGCGATCTAATGATCGCTTTCACTGCCAAAAACAGTAGCCGCATGAGAAATCGTTGATCAGTTGCTTGGCTGTCTGCGTTGACCGGGGAATCTGCACGGTATGTAGCAGACGGCGTCTCCATTGAGTGTGTCGTTTGTGATGCAGTGGGTCGTGGAGCCCTTCGGGCACCAGACGCGGTAGGCATTGGAGGTCCTGACTCGCGCTTTTCGGGTTGAGTAAGCGGCGCTGACGTCATGGAACCATTTTCATTTTTTGAAGCGGTGTTTTTCTTACTTGGTTGTCGATGTAGCACGTCTGAATACGTAGGCTTGGATGTCGACGATTTTGTGTCGTTTGGAGCTTCAGGTATTCGCACCATCTCTGGATTTGATGGTGGAGATCGTCGAGTAGGTGTTCTGCCATTTATAATTTCGGTTTTTCTTACAACTGCTGCCGCTTTTTTACTGGAGCAGCCGGAAAACGTTGCCGCGTGGCCTTGGCCGCAGTTGGCGCATTTAGGTTCAGCTCGTGAGCTGCACTCTTGATGGTGATGTGGACCTGCACATATTTTGCAACGGCGGGCACCGCGGCAGTTCTTGGCAATATGTCCAAATCGTTGACATTGGTAGCATTGAAGGGGAGAACCGAAGTACTCTTCCACTGGGTGGCTGGTGAACCCCAAGTATACCCTGGGAGGCATCGGGTGGTCCTGCGTGAAGCGAAGTATGACGCTATCTTTGGGACGGGCCACTGAAGAGCCATCTTCTTGTCTTTGGTATGCAACCTGTCTTTGGACAGTTAGTACACCACTGTCTTTTAAGTACTCCAATAGATCACTATCGGAGTATTGGAGAGGAACTCCTTTGATTTTGCCCATGTTTTCGGAGTAGGACCTTGGAGTGGTTGCCCTTACCTCGATTCCCGCGAGGGATGTTTGCGCAAGCAGTTTATTTGCCGCAGGGAGGGACGCTACACTGACCGATAGGCTGCCATCCTTGGCGATTCTGTGTGAGAGTATTTTCTCCTGTGCTATTCCCAATACCTCTCGTGCCAGGACATTCGGGTTCACCTTCCAGAAGGAAGTCTCCTTGGACGTCGGATGAAAGAGTATTGGGATACCTGCTGGTCGGTTTTTCTTGTAAGAGACGATGGTAAAACCCGCGTCATCGTCGTTGTCATCCATGCTTTCCTGTAACGTGTAAGTCGAAGTCGCCGCTTCCGATGGAGGATCTGACCTCTGCGGGTCGAGTCTGCATGCACCTTCAACGCGCTGCCGTTTGATGGGAATGACGGCTTCCGCCTGCACATCTGAGTGGGTAGTTGGGGGCGTCGGTGGCAGCTCTTGGGAGGGTGGATTTTCATTGGGTGAAGGTGATTTACCTTGTTCCTGGGAGGGTGGTATTTGTTCCATGGTGGCGGGTGGCTTTATCGATGGAATGGCATCGGGTTGCGACGGCAATGGCAATTTGCCGGCCGTCGACGCCCGTTTCTTGGTGTTCAGACTTGCCGGTGCGGATGCCAAGTTAAATATACAATCCTTGCGACTTGAATAACAATTGAAAATGATTTAAGAATGGCCAATTTGGGAAAAATAAGCTGAGAGCCACAAAACTGCGACAGGCTGTTCCGAGGCTTCTTCTTCTTTTTTCTACCTCTCTTTCAATTCCTCTATTCTGCTCTCATCGATGGATTTAAGAGTAGTGCCAAGGCATCAATTTGGACAATGTTGAAGTTGAGCATGCAATAACAAGTTTCCACAAATAGTCTCTAGACACCATCTTACACGTCATTCACGACTGATGATGAGTCGCAGCAATTTCAAATGTTTAGGCAAATCTTGCTTGGGATTCCGTTGTGAAAGCGCCATAAGACCCTTTACCAAAACTTTTGCTGCATGCGTCCAGGAGCTTCCACTTGAGTCAGAAATGGCGGTGCGTGGACCACTAACTAATAGGAACACTAGCGGCACAATCAAAGGGTAGGAGTACTTGGATAAGGCGTTATATCAAGTGCTTTACGTCTTACATCTCCCAGACTTACAAGACGGATTCTTATTGATCAATGACAAAAGTAGATGGGTTGCGCTACCACGAACATCTATTACTGGAGAGTGGAAGGGGAAAGGCTCAACAAGACAAGAGTCTGGCTCTCTTTCTCTTTTCACTCTCTCACAAGTAACATGTAGAATGAAATTTATAGTACTGTATTTGTTGCAGTATAAAGCTTGGTTACAAGTTAATTCTTACAGCGTTGGCAGCAATCAGGTAGCAAAAACTTCTAACATATTGGCCTGTGCATATGCAGGTGTTTGTTTGGAAGCACATCCACGAAACCCTTTGAGGATAGCGCTTGAATAAAGCTGCACTTTGCTTGTTGCTTTCTATAAAATACATTGCACAGGCTACCCTCAGGTGACCCCGGATGTGAACGCAGTGTAAAAATAATTCGGAAGGAAAATAAGATGGTATGCATAATGCCCAGCTTTCGATATCCTGGAGCAATGGGCTGGAAAAATTAGGAGGTGTGATATCGGGCACGGCAGCCAATTTGCGATTCGAATTCAGCTGTAAATTTGTCCTTGTTGCGTGTCATCCTCTTGAGTATTTGCGTTCCACGCTGTTGTCCGATTTTGCTATTGGGTTTCTGGGAAGGAATAACATGTGGTTTTGATCCATGCGCTCTGTACAGGACAATCGGCCAACTCAAGCGGAGGTTCCATTGCCTTCACGCTGAGCTCCGAATGGCTCCAGAACGGTGCTGCGACATCATTGTCGCGTGCTGTGCCCTCCACAACCTGGCCAAGAGGTACCCCTGCAGGACACCCGTGGCCGCCATCCCCGCTGAGGTTCCCGTTGAGCCCGTAGCAGCCAACCGTGCTGAGAGCAACGAGGCCCGAGACTTTATTGTCAACCAT